TAGAAAATGTTTTTTTTGTCCGTGTTTATAGGCAATGAAAAACTGCTACAATATCGTTAGAATAAGAAGGTAAAATTATGACAGTTTATTAATGATTAAAAATAGCTTAATTGGTATATTGGGTGGTCACAAAATCGTAATACCATGGTTCGAGCCCAGACCGACCGACCGACTTTTTTAATTTTTTTTCAAGTTCCTTTCTTTTTTTGAGAAAATCTATTTTTTCGAGCCCTTTTTTTAGTATTTTTAACAACATGACAATTTAAATTAAACTAATTGCACTCATGATTTTTTATTCAAATAACCAGTTCAGTTTTTTCTATTATGTCGCTAAGATCAAAAAATATTATTCGTATTTCATCAGTATGTAATTTGTATCTAAATATAATTTTCAAAACACACAATTGAAAAAAAAACCGAGCGAAAAATACCGAGCAAAGCTCGGTCAACCGGGTACTACAATTTATATGATTAAAAGTTTGTCGCGAGATTACGATATTACGTACACTTTCAAGATCTATGTGTTCTGTATTTTTGTCTTGCAAATAATTTAAAATTTAAATTTTTTTGCTACATGTCTCATAGACTAGGCTTCTTTTATAATCAGCTTACCCAACGCAACGTTTATCGTGTCCAAATCGTGTCTCTTTTAAATTTTTCTGCACTGTGTACTGAGATTTCATCTGTCCTATTCTGACCTATCTGAAATCTAAAAATGTTGATGTAATGCGTCTCTTATTTGTCACTACGTGACTGTGACTCTGTTCCCATACTAGTATTTAATTTTTTAGCTTTCTTTTCGTATTAATTTAGCTTCTGATCTGATTGTTGCCTTATGTTGTTCACAAACTCTTTTAATGATACAATTGACTTATTGCCATTGACTTATTATATTACTAACGTATTGCCTTCTTCTTATATATAAACGACGGTTCTGTATCTTTTTGTTAACTTAATTAAATCTCTCCAAAATTTCTTCCCAAAAAATAATCGAAATCGCAGTTTCTAGTTTCGCCAGTTTATTAAATAAATTTCTCGGCTCTTTTCGGAAATCAACTTTTTCATACTCATATTCGCCATGGAGTTTCGCTAAGAAACAATTGACGCACCGCAATGGCGGCCGTTTAACTATGTGTGGGTAACTACGCGAGCGCGGATTGGAGCGTAATGGCGGGTGGTAGACTTACTATGGTGTACATGCACACCATAGTAAGTCTACCACCCGCACAAGCCCACGTCAACATATTTCTCAAACTTATTACGTCCTTATGCTGAACACCAATATCATTCTCAGAGGCATCAAAGGGTTGCTGATAGTCAGAAAGATCTTGCACATTTTCATTACTTTCTTTTCTGGTTTTCAAAATATACATTCAAAATGTACATTTTCATCACTCATATTTTTTCCTGGTATTGTGATTTTCAGCTCTCTTCAGTTAGATTATCTTCGGATAAAATCCCCTCCTTTTCGCTTTTTAGTGGATTGGTAGCTATTTTTATAATTAAAATGTTCACATCTATTTATTTCTTTTTCTCGATCTAACTGTAATTTTAGTTTTTCAGCTCCAATCTTCTAACAGACATATTGTGGAATAAGATTTTAATATTTTTCTGAAAATAAACATAACGAGCGAAATAATTAATGTAATATTATCCCTCACGTCACATTTTAATACTCTTTGTAATGAGTGTAGCAATTCACAAAGTATCATTAAAATCGATTGTACATTTAGTATTAAAAATAAAATTACAAAAATACCCGTTCTGAATTCCGTAATGGAACGAACTTGTCGGCCAAATACATACCGAATTTCGTTTTTGCCCGCAAAATTTCAAACGTAAAACTAACATAGGTGCGTGACGGGACCTTGATCTTATATGGACTCGCTGCATTCGGAATCCCGAATCGGAATTCCGTTACGGAATCCCGAAATTTACGTATGTATGTGGCCGGCCTAAAAACAAAATTGCGTCAGGGGCGATAAGCGGCTGGAAGTCTCGTACTAGACGCACACGCGAGAAACAGTGTTACCAACTCCAAAACATACTATCCCTTAAGCTTAAGTCAAAAACTAAAAACAATTACGTCTTATAATATTCTTCATTTATAAATTATTTGAGTACTTTTTACATTACACACATTCACAAAGCATTCTCGTTCGAGTAAATTAGAATATACAAACACACACGCATACGTATATAATAGGTAGCGTAATAATCATCAGGTGGTGCTTTCTCAAGGGGCATCAGTTTTACTCGCAAGTGTTCGCTCGCAAGTTACTCTTTTCCCTTATACTGGATTGTTTTTTTACTTTCTGGTGAAACATAGGGTGTAAAAGATGAAAGGGATAGAAGCCTATGATACTGATATTTTACAATTTTTATTTTATTTAAAATTAATATATTATGAATCTATCAATAAATAATACTAATTATATAACGTATTATTATGATTTGGATAGTTTTTAATTAATTTATTTAATTAGTTCAAAATTTTTGTTGTTTCTTTTAGTCCCGAAAAATTATTTCAATTAGTAATATTTATTGCTAGATCGATTTCATAATATGTTAATGTAAAATAAAAAAAAGTAAAATATCAGTGCCATAAGCTTCTATTCCGTTCTTCTGTTACACCTATTTTTCCCAGACGGTAAAAAATCACCCAGTATATTTATTATACTACATATACTTAGAAAATTCAACCCATTGGACTCGCCTCGCGTGGTTATTCCCCTCTCTTATACTTGCGTATTGGATTTAAAATCTTGTGCGTTTATAAAAACTGTTTACGGAATCGATTTCGTCATTACAAGAATCGTTTCCGTCAATTTAGGTTCTCTTTAAAAAATGCCGATTTGTGCGGTTTACGTGTGTAAAAAGAAGTCTAATACTTCAAATTTACAAAAAGATGGAGTTACATTCCATAAGTAAGTATTTTTATTGTGATACGTAGGACACTCAATAAGTTTTGAGATAAGACAAAAATTTTTCTAGATACTATTGTTGCATGAATAAGTCAACTAGCGCCATCTAGTGTCAGGAACGAGAGCGAGGGGAGCATTGAGAAAATGACATCACAAATCACTCAACCGACAGCGCCTAGTCGAAACTCGAACGCTCGGTACCTTGAATGAATGTTTGAATGAATATTTATTTTACATCTTTTCAAAATATTTTCCAACATGCTCTATAAAAAGTTTCATTCGCCTAAACGAACTCTGAAAACACTTTTGCCAGTCTTGATCTGACAGGTCGGAAATCGCTTCTTTGTAGGCAGCCACGGCTTCTTCGGCGCTTGAAAAACTTGCCTTTTAATTTTTTTCTTTGATTCTTGGCAACAAAAAGAAACCACAAGGAGCTAAGTCAGGGCTGTAGGGTGGGTGACTTAGAGTTTCAACACCAGATTCCTCAATAAATGCTTTTGTTATAAGGGAGGTATGTGAAGAAGCGTTATTGTGATGCAGCATGATTACCCGATGCCCGGTCTTTGGTCTTCTCCCCCGCACTGCTTGAAAAGCTTTGGTTAATGCAACTGTAGTGTACCATTCAGAGTTGACTGACCTACAATTTTCCAGCATTGACGTCGACAAATGTCCGCTCCGCAAAAAAAAACTAGGCTTTTCGTTAATAATTAAGTGTTAGGGCGAAACATCATAACTCGTTTTCCAATCTAACTTTTAAGAAATTGTCTCTTTAAAAGTTCGCTTTCTTCAGTTCCTAAATTTGCAACCGACGAAAAAATGGATGAGGTACTTAAGTCGGCGCGTATATTTTTTATGTATGACCACGCATAATTTTTACAGAGTACCTCGAAATAGGTCCCATATAAATTTGGAAAAAAGTTTTTACCCTGGGGTGGAAAATAGCGGTGATTTATTACAGAGTAGTCCGATTTGGATACTTTTTTTATTGGATAGGGTATATACCTCGAAATTGGCCTCATATAAATTTGGAAAAGAAAATTTATTTGTTTACCACTTACAACTATCATCACAGGTGTTATTACCTAATACAATAGTGCAGTTACAAACTAAGAAACTAGAACAAATATAATATAGGTATATCACGCACAACTTAAAGATATTTTACAATAAGCGGCCTTTGTGAATTCATTCAGAGTACAGCTGAACAAATCAGTCTGTTGTGAGACCACATTAAGTGCACGCAGCGCACGCGTCAAAGGCACGTGCTATAGCAAGTTGGTGCGCGCTTGCGGCACCGACAAGAGCGGCGGCCGCCGCCGTCTTCTTACGGCCGTATTCAGTGCTCTCCTGACGGTCGGGACTGACGGTCAGTGCGTACGCACGCACTGACCGTCAGTCGGCTTTATGCATTCAGTGCTCCACTGACCACCGTACGGAACAGCAGGGTATAGTCGTGATGTATCCGTTTATAAATTGTTTAATTACTCTTTACTATTTGAGGCGATTACGAATGAAAAAAAAACGAAGAAGATATCACGTACATCCAGTTATTGCTAACAGGCTACTTGAAGGAGAATTCAGTACTCTGTTTTCAAAACTTAGAAATTATAATGAAAAATTCTCTGATTATTTTGGGATGTCAGTAAAAAGTTTTGATGAACTGCTGGCAAGAATTCAGGATCATATTAAACATCATAACATGTTTAGGATTCCAGTACGACCCGTTGAAAGACTTGCTGTGACATTGAGGTAAGATAAAATCGAAAATATTTTCGTAGTCGGGTGCTATTCCACTCATCAAATTTCTTTGATCAAAATATCAGTGCATTTTTTCTAATAATATCAACATAAAAGTCAGCTTTCTCTTTTTGTTGGATAAAATTGATGGGTAGAATGGCTGGCACCCTTACATAGAGTACTTTTAAATATGAAATTAGAGACCTTTAAATATGAAATAGGCAAATTAAACATGTTTATGTGCTAAGTTTAATAAGTTTAATAAGTAATTTAGGTAATACAATCAGTTAAGTAATTTAGGGAATGCAATCAGTATTATCAGTATCATGTGATTGTCAGTCATTGCTTAAAATTAATATACTGAGACAAATCAGATGATGGGTTTTCCAAATTTTGTGATGTGCTCGTATAAGCGAAATTACGATTAGTTGTCACTACGTTTTGAAACGAAGGTTCTTCAACTGAATACAAAACTATGTCTCGAGATCCTGGTGATGGTATATTGAAGCTGGAAGCAGACAAAGATGTGATTACCGAATTTTGTGATGTATGTGCGATATTTGGATTAGTTCTCACTACATTTTGAGACGAAGGTTCTTCAACTGAATACAAAACTATGTCTTGAGATCCTGATGGTAGAGATTCTGGTGATGCTATATTCATGCTGGAAGTAGAAGATTCAGGGCGAGAGGTAGATGCATACATTGGTGAAGCAAGAGGAGTGATAGACGAAGGGCAGTTACAAATTTCCAGGGCTTTATTCATTACTGCAGTACGGAACATAACTTTTTGACGATTGTCGAATGTCCGTGTTAAAGGTAAAAGAGAATAAAAAAATGCCATATCGTCATTTTGAATAATTTCGCTGTTTTTTGTTAAAAACTCCAAGATGTTTTTATCGAAGTAGCTGTCTTCATTAGTTTTTGCGTTTTTACGCTTCCTTGATGGGTTTGTGTTAGGAGTAGAGCTAGATTGTTTAGTTGTGTTTGAAGAATCTTGTCTAACTTGGCTGGAACACTGTGGTTGGGTTTCTGGATTGGTGGATACTGTTTCAGTAGAACGTGGATTGATTGGAGACTCTAAATTTGAATCTTATTGTGTATCTTCTCTTGTTTCATTTTCTTCAATAGAATCTTCGGTGTCGGCAACATGTTTTTTGTCAAGAAACTGTAAATGTTTGAAAAATACGTATTTGGTTCTCTTTCCGCCTTCCGATCCCGATTTCACAGATTTCATAGAATTTTTGCATCTCATGTAAGCATCTCTCGCAGTTCTCCATCTTTGTTGTACACTTTTTTCTGTAAATAATAAATAAAAAAAATTGTGTTTTTTGTTCCAGGTACTTAAGAACTGGACAAACGTTTTCGGACTTACATTTCAGTTATCAACTTGGCAAATCAACTATTTGTCTCATTGTTCGAGAAGTTTGCCTGACTATTTGGAATGTGCTTCACAGTGAATGTCTTTCGCTCCCTAGGTTCCCTGAAGATTGGCTTAAAATTGCTTCAGGATTTGAGCAGGTTGCCAACTTTCCGAATTGTGTAGGATGCCTAGATGGCAAACACGTGAGAATTGTTTGTCCCGAAAAGAGCGGTAGCTTATTTTTAAATTACAAGAAGCATTTTTCCATCAATCTACTAGCAATGTGTGATTCAGAGTATCGTTTTACATATATACATGTTGGTTCGTGTGGGTCAGACTCTGATTCAACAATTTTCAAGAATACTAGTTTGTACACAAAATTACATAATGGAGAACTAAATTTACCAAGTGCTAAGCCATTACCTAATACCACTGAACCAATGCCATATGTGCTAATAGGCGATGGAGCGTTTGGAATATCGAATAAAGTCTTAAGACCTTATGTTCGCAGCAATATGACACATAAAAAGAAAATATTTAATTATAGATTAAGTCGGGCGAGAAGGTACATTGAATCGACGTTTGGAATAATGTCCAATAAATTTAAAATATTCCAACGCTCAATAAATCACTCACTGCCGAATGCTATTAAACTTGTTAAAACCTGTTGTATTTTGCACAACTACATTAGAGAAAGAGATGGCTATAAATTTGAGGATACGCTAACTATTGAAGGATTTCAAAATAATACCAACACTAACAACATCTCGGTTGTCAGATCCGGTGATGTTTTGAGAGATAAATTTGCTAATTACTTTGTTTCTGAAGTTGGCGCAATTCCGTGGCAAGATGATTCTATATTTTGATTGTTATTATTTAGATACTTGTATATTCAATAAAAAATATTTTTAATAAACACATTTTTTTACTTACCAAAGTCTTTTTTATCATTCTCAGACAAATCATTAAAATCGGGCAAAAGAGCTTTATACACTCCAAACCATGCTTGAAGCTTGGCATCTTTATCTTTGAATAAATCGTGAGATAGATCCCACAAAGGTGGTCTTATTCGAACTTCTGTTATCACACGTTCAGTGTCGATGTTATGTTTCGACATGATTGTACACGCTAACGTCCGTTCGAGTCCCGCTTCCGCAACGCACTAAATGCTCTGAAGCATTGCATAGCGCGTCAGTCACCTGACGTACGCAGCACCGACGCGCTCGACTGACCGTCTCTGTCAGTATTGCGTATGCGGACGCGGTCAGTGCTGCTCTGAATGCACGCATGGTTTCTATGGCGATAGCTACGGCAGACTGACGTCAGTCCTGACCGTCAGGAGAGCACTGAATACGGCCTACGTATTCATTCGGGACACACAGCTTAGCTATCTGTAGAATACCTGGGTTATGTATTTTACCACGGTCACTTTTAGTAAGTAAGTGGCGAGAGCAACTTCCCTTCTTATTTCTAGTTTGTAAAAGCCTATCATGCCTAGTATAAATAGAGTAGGGTACAACAGTGGATAACTCGGGTACCACACCATATTGTTTTAAATACATAAATCTCTCAAATTTGTTCTGAATACGTTCTAGCACTAATTTATATTTGGCTTCATGTGGTGACCAAACGACATCATTGCATTCTAAATGACTTTTTAAGTGTATCTCGTATAGTGCTCTCAGAGCACAGTTGTTTATGAATCTGTTTGCTAGCCGTAAGACTATCCCTAAGTTGCGGTATGCTTTTTTACAAACGTTGGTAGTGTGTTTTCGAAATTGTATGTCGGTACTGTATCGCACGCCTAAATCATTAACCTTAAAGACACGTTGCAGAGGGGTTCCATTCATATGATATTGATGATGACTCGGGTTATGTGCACGGCTGAATGATAGAATAGAACATTTCGCCGCGTTGAAATATAATTTATTTTCCAATTAAAATTACCCTAAGGGTGGAGAAATAAGGGTGATTTATTGTTTACACACAACAGATTTTAATGCTGACTTGTGTAATATTACATAATAATTACAATTCTTTACTCACTATTTACTTGACTCAAATGCACAATATAACGTAATGTACATGGTTCTTTATTGTTATTAGTATATATTAACCTATAACAGCGTATGCTCTCCTATGACTCTATTTGCAGATGATAGCTCTATGGTGTTTACGTGTACATACATAAATAATTATGAAAATGAAATTAATAACAGCCAGAAGAATAAAATTAGCTGGATAAGTCTAATAATTTAATAATAAACTTAAAAAAAAAGACTCAAATAATGAATTTTTATCTCTTGTTTTACTTAATATTAATTACGATAGTGAAACCGTTAGTGCAACCAAAGTATCAAAATTCTTAGGTCTTTATATTGACAACAACTTAAAGTGGGAGACTCATACAGAAAATATTTGCAAAAACTTAATCCAATTTTCATACGATCTACATGTATTATCCAAAGTTTTTTAAGGAAATGCTTTACTTATGGTATATCACGGCTTCGTATCCTCTACTGTGCGCTACGGTATAATTTTTTGGGGCAATGCTACAAGGTGCGAAGATATATTTAAAGCACAAAAAAAAGTGTGTGCGTGCTATTGCAAGTATACCGAGTACAGAAAGCTGTAAACCACAATTTAAAAATTTAAGTTATTGACATTTTCCGCAATGTATATTTATGAAGTTGTGACATTTGTAAAAACTGATCCTGAAATATTTAATGATTACATAATAAAAAACAATCAACGCAAAAATAAAATTCATAGAATTTCATCAAAGACAGATTTACTTAAAAAAAGAGTTTTCGATACATTATCTAAAATCTATAATAAGGTTCCATCTATGTTTCATGGAATGGAAAATATTCATACATTTAAAAAAAGAATTTAAAAAAATTTCTAATTGAGAAATGCTACTACTCAATCGATGAATATTTAAGTGACGCATCAGTAGGCATATTATAATTATATTGCATAAAATATATTATTTCTTTTGACATTCGATTAGACTATACAATACGTAACGTGATTAACGCACATCCTCAGACACCCCAATTAGTATATTATGTTATAATCATAATACATACACTGAATTTTAGTTAAACATTTTTATGCATTGATTATTTATCAAAGTACCCAAATGACCGAGCTTTGCTCGATTTTTTTTAAGTTACATTTAGCTACAAATTACATGAATAATATTTTTTGATCTTATTGAAATAATAGAAAAAACTGAACTGGTTATTTGAATAAAAAATCATGAGTGCAGTTAGTTTAATTAAAATTTTCGTATTTTTAAAAAATACTAAAAAAAGGGCTCGAAATAATAGATTTTCTCACAAAAGAAGGGAACTTGAAAAAAAAAGGAAAAAAGTCAGATCCAAGACGGGACGCGAACGAAGGCATTAAGATTTCACGACCGCTCGATATGCACTTGAGCTATTACGATCATTAACAAAGTGTCAAAATTTACCTTCTTATATTGTAGCAGTTTTTCATTGCCTGAAAACACGGACAAAAGACATTTTCTAAAAATAAAGCTAGCTAGATCGATTTATTGCCCCCGAAACTCCCTGGATACTAAATTTTATGAAAATCGTTGGAGCCATTTCTGAGATTCCGATTATATATATATACAAGAATTGCTCGTTTAAAGGTGTAGGATTAGTTATACTAATTCCGGAAGAATGTTGTGGTCACAGTACAAATCCACGAACGCAAAGACTTTAACGTGCAAGATCATTTTTCTTTATTTTTATTGAATGACAGAATTAGTAATGATACAAATAAAACTGCACTCTTAAAAGTCTTATTGCCTTAAGTTAAGGTCCATTTCAGTTTGTTTTGACTGTACAGATTTAGTGTGACTGTAATTTACGTAGTTTTAATTATTGTTGGGATATAAAATTACCTATATTAAAAATGATAGGAATCGATTCAGTAAACGATTCTGAACATACTACGTTCTCAAAGTGCGATTATGTTACGTGTTGTATATATTATTGAAAATATCACATTCTAATTAATTATTACATCATTTTTGAATATTCTAATATAATTATAATATAAATAATAAAGTAAAAAATTTATTTGTGGAAATGTAATAATTGTAACTGTAATATTTGTATAGCTAAGGTTTGAATGCAGCGAACATATTTTTTATAGATTCATTCTGTCTCATTACCTGTATTCACAAATAAAATAAATTTGAATTTGAAATAAAGGTCGTGTTGTAAAGCACCCGAAACATCGGGAATCAAAAAGTCAAATTTAAACGCGATAAAACCCGTAAGATTAGTTTCTTTAGTGTGTAATGTTCGCCTAAATATAAGAATTAATTATTGTAAACTTATCGAAATTATAAATATTTTCAAGAAGAATAACATTCATGTCAAAGGAATAGTAAAAATATTTAATATATTGATTGAATTACAGCTAAAGTACGGCCAACTAGCAGCGATACGAAAGGTCATTTATCTTAAAAACGACTGTGGAGTTGACAATCTATAATCTATCTCTTTCCATATTCTTTATTTGACGTAATGTCTCGTTTTCGCGGCAAAAACATATCAGGGTCAAGACGGGTTCCCCAAATTTCGGGAGGCCATTTTAGTAATACATAATAGTGATTCATTCCGTTTCGGAATGCGCTCGTGGTGATGAACTCACACAAACAGTGGCAAGTTATTTGTTAAAATTTTCGTTATTTCTTGTTGTTTATTTAATTATTGTTATTTTGTTTTATTGATAGTTGTCTTTTATTAAGAGCGATTAATGATGGAGCCACAACCAACTACGTCGAGAGATAAATCAACAGACTTTACTTCTCCGAAAAAGAAACGTCCAAGGGAAATAATGAATAGGAATAGGCTATATATATATATATATGAATGTTGTTTAGTAGTTTTAATTAAAATTTCTTGGTTGGGAGTGTACTTTAAAGTTATTTAAAAAGCAGCAACTGTAATAATAAAAAAATTTCTTAATTTATTAAAGATGCATGTAAGAAAAGTATGTATATCATTTTAATCTAATTTTAATTTTAGGTGACTAGTTTACTGTGAATGAGAAAAATATTGTTATTAATACCTACAAATATATTAAAGAAACTTGGCCTAATGAGAAATACCCATACAGCAAAGAGACGGCGCAGAAAGCAGCTAGTATTTTAGGTATCGGCGTTGCATCTGTATATAGAATCCTCGAGGACCATAAAGAACACGGCGAAATTTCTTCTCCTGTCACCAACAACCTAGACCCGTTGGTTTCTTAAGTAAACGGTTAGTTACAATTACTTAAACCAAGTCCCATAAGGGGTAGGCAGAGATATTACCACCCACATTTTGCCTTTATATTTAAGTCCCTATGTAACGGTGGCAAGCCTGTTTCCATACACCGTGCACACAGTTATTAGGCAAGCTATATTCAGAAACATTATTATTATTCTCTTTATTTAATTTAAATCTACATTATGCAATAATTCAAATTATTACAAAATTTATAAAAAGTATATTTCTTTGGTGTGCTAGACATTTTTTAAAACTTGGTTTTTTATTTTTTCAAAAAGTTACGCACCCCTGCTAATCCTAATACCCTTGCATTGGTTTTATTTACATTTGGTATAGCTTCTTTTGGCCGTACTTTAGACATTACCTCCTACAAGTTCAAGGTTGGTACAGCAGTATCGGATTACCTTCTTTTATTGATAGCTATTAAATAATAAATGTGATTTATCAAAATGTTCGGAGCAAGTGGTGCTAGTCCGTTAGGTACTCAAGATTCATGATTTCTATAAGCTGCAATCCGAGTGTGCTGCCTAAGAGGATCTCTTGGAAATATGCGAAATCTGACCAATAACAGAAAAAATTACTGCTTTTTGTAATACTTTATTATAAAATCTAAACAATAAAAACTTTTAGACAAAAAATAAACTGCCGAAAAAAGTGAAAAGCAAAAAATAATAAACCTTTTTCTTTTACCTTAAGCTTTGCTGTTTTACATTCCCAACCATTAGAGGGGGCGCTCTCCCCCGTGCATAAATACGTTCGAGATCGAAGGCGAAGGTTGCTCTACTTCATTAAATACTATATAACTTATTAATTTTTTTCCAAA